AAGATGCAGAGACACATTTAAAAATATATATAATTTAATATAGCTTTACAGTAGTAGTACCAAATACATATTTTGTATTATATGATATGATTAATATCACATTTTTAAATATGTTTCATTATAAATATTGTGATTATCTCTAAGGTGGACACCCAACTTGATATATCATATTTAGCATCTGAATCTAATCAACAACAACTGGAAAAGGCAGTCAGCTGTTTATTATCTTGTTAATAATAAGTTGGTTGTTATTACTATCTCCTGGTTGTTACCCCTTTATTCCCCAAACTTTACATATTGTTCCCTTATACTTACATGCAAGTACTCTATAGGTACACTATAATTACCGAAAGTTACTCTGTAAATTCCTCTTAATTACACAGTACTTTCCGGGCTGTAATCTAAAGCGTTACCTAATTTTTTTATTACAGTGTATTTATTGTACAAAAAGGAATTATTTTATTTATCAAAATAAACTGAATACAGTACAAACTTTGATCAAGTGATTGTTTCGAACTAATATTAACGTAGACATGATTAAAAACATATTATTTTAGCTAAAGTATTTGTATAAATAATATATGTCTTTTGCCCCATGCTGGTGAGCCTTTTACCCCGTGTGGGTTAAAAGGCCCACCTTGACACCTCATACATTTATAAGATTTTTAAACAAACAAACAAACAAACAAACAAACAAACAAACAAACAAACAAACAAACAAACCACTTTTATGATTTATTTTCACACAAAATCGGTTGCTCTATCAATGTTTAATAAAAACACATATTTTTTCTGCAATCATACACTATGGGGCTCATTTTTCTTAGGGAGTACCTTTAGCCCCGTTGTACCCATTAATCAACTGGGCAGCTGTCGATAAACTGATATTAAGGTAGGTAGAGATTACAAAGAGTTCTGTCTGAATAGACATCTCAGACTAACCATAGAGCGGAGGAAGGTCACTGGGTGCCAGATATTTCTTCATAATAGCCAGTAAATGCCAAGTTTGTTTGTATTATATTTTTGTACAGGGAGTAATCCACTTCAGTGAATTTTCAACCTACAGACCTTTATTGGGCCTGCATAGGGATTTGAAGCAGGAAACCAGAGCTAATGCCTACACTAACTTCAAACACATGCCAGGAGCTCTTTAAATGTCGGGTGGGCAGGAGTGGGGCTCGTGTTATGGGGGCAGATGGGAGAGAGATGAACCTGGAAGTGCTGAGTTCAGAGAGAGAGACAGATGTCTGCTTCTGCTTATCTGGAAGGCTGTAGTTGGTCATATCTACAATCCTAAAACAGAACAGACGCCCAGGGGTGTTACTGTACGATTCAAGGGTCAGCCAACAAGCGCAATGCAAGAGTGCACAACTAGAACATCTTCCTCCTATAAGTACCGACCCAAAAATTCATATATGCTAAAACAGCATATGTTGTTAATAACAGACTCCTTTCCATCATCTTTAGTGACCCATTTTGGCCGCTATGTGAGTCTATCCAGTGATGTTTGGAGTAAATGGAGACAAGATTGTCATAGCAGGTCATTATGGAACTTGGCAGATATCGAAATGTCTAAATGTCCTTGCCTTGAATGACTCATTCGGATGTAAAGAGGGAGTGAAAGGATAGAAGGCTAAATTGTGTGTACTTGGATCGATTGTCTGCAGCTGTTTAACTCTGTACACACACCATAAGGTCGAAATGCTCTGGGTTTATATTTAAATATCAACTGACACTAACAACACACATCACATGCATTACAAGGATAAACGTGTCCATGTTAAACGATACGTCAATGGCCCTGCAGACTGAACTGATATAGTCTTTGAATGGGGTACACACATATACCATGTCCTTTGGACGTATTGCACTGGCTGTTAAGTTGAAGTACAGACTGCCAGAAAGCCTCGAAAAGCCACAGCCACCCTCACTTTGCTTCAACACCCACCAAAAAAACAGCTCAGAAATGCAGAACTGCCCCCTCCATTTGTTAAAGAGAAACTTTTCCCCCCTTAAGGAGGCCAAAGTATTTTTACTGGCTTCAGATCCTACCAGAATGCATATATGGAGGTTTATGGCCAGAGGGACGGCGATCCCTCAGAAATGCGCTATACGTCTGTATGTGGCAAATGTTTCTGCTCCATAAACTTTAGCAGCTATGTCTGACAGTCAGTGCACTGGAGCAATGCCTGCTGTGATGATGGGAATATTCATGCTGTGGCATCCTCACGTCTTCCATACACAGATGACAGGTCTGGACGCATTTCAAGAACTGCAGTGTAAGAAAAATAAGATACAGCGCAATTAGTACAGTGCTCATTTGAACATGTGTTAAATGAACACATTTTAAAATAATTAAAAAATAAACATATTTAATTAAAAAAAATGTGGGGGAAAAAATAAAATGAACAGATCATCTGTTAAGGGCAAATTAAAAAAGAAAAAATTATGATCAAGTTTATAACATCCAAAATAATTTGCTCATGATTCATTAACACATTTTCTTGTTTGTTATGGTTGATCTGCACTGTCACTCAGCACATTCTGTTCATACTGCAGCTTTTATCTTGATGATCAAGAGATTAATAATAATTTTAGGCTTTGGGCCATATGTGTCTTTTTTTAGTTACCAGACTTGTTTTTTGTCAAAGGGAAAAAAACGCATGAATCAGAAACATGTTTTGCCCTCAAGCGATGAGAGAACTGTTTTCACTTCTGTAATATTTATCAACTGACACATATATTCAATATTTCTTGCCACAATTTCTTTTAGTAGCACTTTAGAATACTGTTCAGTCGTTAATGAGTAGCTACACATGAACAAACGCGTATCGCTTAGTTGAATGAGGTAGTTCACTATTAGCTCATCACTATTTTTTTCATTCCTCCCTGAGGACTTCTAAGAACTACTATACAGGCTCATAATTAATGTAAATAATGCATCATTTATCATTAATTCTAAAGTAAAGATCATGGTAACCCACTAGTAATGACTCAAGTATTACCAAATCCTTCAGAAGGAATTTCTAATTATTTGGAACAGCATTTTAAAGTGAAAAGCATGATAACTCGGTAGTAATGACTGAAGTCATTGTAAGCTTTTGATGTTTTTGTAAGGTTATTGATTAGCTAATAGTGACCTACTTCATTCAACTGAGCACTAGTATACTTACTAATTAGTTAATCAGAGTATCTAGAATGTTAATATTGCTTTACTCATGTGTTCCTGTGTAGTTATTCATGAATGGCAGAACAGTGTTACCTTTCTTTTTTTTTTTTTTTTTTCATGCATTTTTTTATTCTTGTACAACTAGTTATAATTTCTGTATTATTATATATCAATCTTCACTACCTTATTCTTATGATTGGTTTTATTTTGGTGCGTTGGTTGTTTTCCTTTATCAAAAAGAAAATAAAGAAAGAGCATTTTTAGGAGACATGTCACGACTAGAGAGGGTGGGGAAGGGCGTAGGCTATTGAGAATCCCACAATGTCTTTCTTTCCTTGCCAGCAGCACTGTTTATGAAAGTGTGTTTGGATTGCCCTCCCTTGTGTGAACAGTTTGTGCAGCTAAATCATGTTTTATCTTTATCGTATAAAGTTTGGATGGACACTTCCTGTTGATTGTTTAATACTTACCATGTGCCAGTACACCAAAGGCTTATTTGTTTGCTGACAGATATGACCGTTTTGATGAATGTATTAGTTGTACCTTAGATTAGTGTTTATGCAATGTACATTTCAGCTGCCTATGAGAAAAACTGACTCTGTGAACACAGTCTGAACAATGGCAAATGAATCATGCACTGTACTTGAACATACTTACGCACAGTGTAATTCACTTCCACTATGTCAGTAATAGCAGAATTCCTTTCCTCAAGACTTTCTTCAACTCCCACAGTTAGATTCACATGACCACATAATTCCACCACAAAGGTCAAGGGGTCACGGGTCAGGTCACCTCCCTCCATTTGCGGGTCCCACTTGCCAGTTAGAATGCCCAGTCTCTTTATTAATAGGCTTACAATGAAACCCACAAGGTTGAACCACAAGACCGGATATATGCGGTCCACAGAGGCATCAAGATGTGAGGCTAAAAAAGCACATCTGTCACACTTTGTGTGTGTGTGTGTGTGTGTGGCTCTCCTTTAACATAGATTTAGCCTAAATCTACTAAAAACACTTCAAAAATGTCAGGTCAGAGTATAGATTGAGCCCTTCCCGACAGCATATTCCATACCTGAACAATTCTCTTCTGTTTTTCCAAGAGAGAAGTAGGAAAAAACATATATTATTTTTTCTTTTGTTCTCAGATTTCTGTGAAATAATCTATGGTTGCTGCTTGCAGGTATTGCATATTGTAATACACTTTAATCCGACCTCTTCATAAAGCTTATAATTGACAAATTCATTAAAAAAAAAAAAAAAAACCTTTAACATTGTGTTAATACAAGCAAGTGGTTCATTTGTTTTTACTACATGAGGCATTTTCATGGAAATAAATATTTAGCTATTTTCTAAAAGTTTAGCTTTGATATCTATATTCTCATTAATGTCAGTCTTACAGGAAGTTTCCCTGCCTTCCATTTCACCACAGCTGCCTGTACAAAGTGAAAGTTTTGACAATGATTTATTTTGCTAACTTGACCTTCATGGATGAATGCAATTTAGAATTCAAAATGCCTTTTTCCCATGCAATTGCCATTTTTATGAGCGATTTTTTTGACTGACCCACCCATTATTTGAGACTATGGCTATTACATTACTATCAACCCGAAACCATGAAGTCATACCCTCCCAAAAATGAAACTGCCCCGAAATGACCCAGAAAATGTAAGGCAGGGTAAACATATAAACCTCTTCTAGACAAGACAAATGTCATTACGTTAATAAGTGGGATAAAACATCAGATATGATTGTGTCAGATGTGTCTGACTGTGTTTCTGCAGAAAGACAGGAAAGAAAGTGTTAGCAAAGACAGTGTTTCTGCTTATCGACAAGAAGTCTGCGTTTAGTTGGTTTAGATTGCTTGGTGTTTCTGCAGCACTTGCATGTCCTGGTGATCATTCAGGCCAGAAGGGTCTTCCTGTGGAAGCTCCTGGGCCAGTTGGCGTAGGACAATGATGTGGGCAATGTGTGTCTTGAGCAGCAACTCCAGCTCGTCCTCACTGCTCCCCAAGACGCTCACTCCGTTTACTTCCACCAGCCTGAAACAGAGACACACACCTCAGAAAAAGAACACTGATGGCATTGCTAACAGGGACGTAACGTAACTGTTTTTTAAGGGGTAATTTGGTTCCATTGGAAAGATAAGGCAAAACAGTCTACCAACTTAGTAGTTGTGTAACAAATATGTAGTTCGATTAATGATATGGGAGACCATGGTGTCATGGTCCAGTTGCAATAAAGTTGAGAAAGGATCAATTTGCAGCAGTGTGGATATTTATTTAGAGGGAGGGTATGCAATTTCGGAGCGGCTAGCGATAGTAAGCTAGCTTTGAAAGCATTAGATCCCACCTTCCCTTCTGAGTGTCTCCCCAAGTCCCGCATCGTCCAAAACACATGAGACGCCGTTAAATTACATCATGTCTCAAAAGCACATAACATTAAAATAATAACGAACATAAACACCTTACAGAGTTTGTAACAGTCAAATCTGTGTACATGTTTTTTTGTTTTTTGTTGGTTGGTGTTGTAATTGTACTAAACACCTTGAGGGGGCAACAATGAGTAATGCTCTCAGACATAAAACAGGTGTAGAGAGTAGAAGCAGTAGATTGGTAATGGAGGAATAAGCATGCCTTGTGTATCCAAACGATCAATAGTCCTGATTGGGAAACTAAGAGTTTGATGCTCAATCGGAAGTAAGCATTGTTTATTTTCTTATGTTGACTGGTTAATGTATGAATATTTATTTTCCTAATGTAATGATTTTGTTTTGTAGAAGGACTTCACATTCTGTGGGGTTTGTCCTTGTGTCGCTTATGCCTGGTTGGGTTTGTTTGAAACTCTATGAAGTGAGTTTAGAAGCCATATGTCTTACTGCTGCGGATCCTGAAATTGGATTATACCCGCACGGTTGTGGATCATGAAGATGACTTATACCAACTATGTGATTTTGGATCAGCAATAAGGTTGACACTGGGAAGATGTGGGATTTGTATTCTTGGAACTGAGCTTTTATGGACATTGAGTTATATAGTATGGTCAATGAACTTTCAACGTGATTATCCTTGGCATCATCACCTTCGTCATCATCATCATCATATAAAAACAGATAAGACTTTCATTTCTATGTAACTGGTTATTGAGTGAAAAAAAACCTGTAAGATCTTTTGTGTGTCCTTGAGAGAGTTATGAAAGATAAAAGAAAAATGCAATGAATGAGAAGTATTTATTTATTATTTTCTGTAGGCCTATGTCACAGATTGTTTAAGATTGGTATTAAACATTGCCTGTGTACCTCAAACAACATATAGTTAGTGGAACCTACCCTATAAAAAAAAAAACAGATTTATAACTATTTCTCTTGTGAGGTTAAGGAAGCAGTTATAAGTTCTTACTTGTTCCACCTGACTGCTGAAGTTTTTTGGTCCCGAGACTTCCACAGACAATATATGTATATTTTTTAATATTGATATCAGGATGTGAATAGAGTTTCAACCAAAATAACTAAATTATATGTTCCAAAGAAGACATATGAGTTTCAAAGGCTACATACAATATACAATCCAATATTATCCCCACAAAGTTGCCAATATCCCAAATACTTGTCCTCGTGAGGAAATGTTTTGGTCCCCATGAGGAAAACAGTTTATCAATCATACTAAGAGATGGGTTTTTTTTTTGAACATCTAAAAATGCAGAAAGTTTTCTGTGATGGGTGGGATTAGGGGTTATAATATATTGTACACGTGAAAACGTGTGTGTGTGTGTGTAAGCAGCTTCTTATAACTAATATTGCAATAATATTTAAATGCATTATGGAATTTGCATTGCAGAAAACTAAATAAGAGGTAAAAAAAAAAAAAAAAATAGTAGTAACCCCAATTTCGGGGTCAGGGTTTCTAATAAATTTTAAGAACACACCACGCGTGAAATTAAATCTCCAGAATCTTAATGGATCACATGAAAAACAGATTTTAAGCCTGTTTAATTTTGTGCACTCATTAGATTTTACTTAAAGCACTGTGTTTCTGAAAATAGAACAGTGACGTTAGCCTTTATGTTTATTTACTGACTGTGAAAATAATCTTGCCAGAGGTTTGGCAATTAGCTACCAAACACATGCAGTTACTCAGATTCCCCTCTTCTAGAGGGTGCATATGCTAATTTTTATTATGTTTTTCCTCCCCCCTCCCTCTGGTCCTCATCCTCCACTTAAAGAGTTAGTTCACCCAAAAATGAAAATTCTGTCAGTATTTACTCACCCTCATGTTGTTCCAACCCCGTAAGACCTTTGTTCATCTTCGGACCACGAATTAAGATATTTTTGATGAAATCTGACAGCTGGATCACTCCTCCATACTAGTCCATAGGCTTCTTCAGGGATTGAACTTGCCGGCCTCGAAAAGTTATTAAAGACATCGTTAAAATAGTCCAAGTGACTACAGTGGCTCAATCTTAAGTTTATCAAGCGACGAGAATACTTTTTGTGCGCAAAAACAAACAAAAATAACGACTTTATTTCAACTATTCATTTCCTTCTCTTTGGGCCTCGAGTCAGTTAACGTAGTGTGATTCCGTAGAGCTACGTCACACGTAGGCTCACTATTGGCCGACGCTGGTCATGTGCGTGATGCGTGTGACGTCCAACAACAGAAGCGTACGCTATTACACTAGTGAACTGACTCGAGGCCCACAGAGAAGGAAATGAATAGTTGAAATAAAGTCGTTATTTTTGTTTGTTTTTGCGCACAAAAAGTATTCTCGTCGCTTGATAAACTTAAGATTGAGCCACTGTAGTCACTTGGACTATTTTAACGATGTCTTTAATAACTTGCCGGCATGTTCAATCCCTGAAGAAGCCTATGGACTATGGAGGAGTGATCCAGCTCTCAAATTTCATCAAAAATATCTTAATTCGTGTTCCGAAGATGAACGAAGGTCTTACGGGGTTGGAACAACATGAGGGTGAGTAAATACTGACAGAATTTTCATTTTTGGGTGAACTAACCATTAATTATGACTTGTATTTTATTTGTGTTTATGTACATGTGTTTGCATGTATAAGGTTATAAAGTTCTGCAAAACCCAGCTCAAAAATGTAATGTTTAAACTAGGTATTATTCATGTTTGTATCTGCTCCTTGTGCATAGCCACCCACATTTTACATTTCTGTGTTTTCCTGTTATGCTCCCTGTCTCCTACAAATTTCCATAGCAACAGGGGAAAAACACAAGAGCTGATGGAACCTCTGTGATCCTCTATGCTCTTAAAGGCTGGAAAATTTGGGATGTTTCTTGGCATATTTTATGAAAGGCCAATTAGAGGCTTAATTCATCAAAACATCCATTACACTGAACTGACCTCTTTGATCTCACATTCTTTCGCATTTCAGTTGTTTTAGGACTATGACCCAAAGGTTATACTTGGTGGAAATCATTTAAAGAAATAGACGGCACAAAAATGCTGTTCCAATTTCCATTTTAGGGTGAACTGTTCCTTTAAATGTTTCAATAACATTTTGGTGCAGGTAAAAGAAAGCTTGAAGACATGCTAAAAAATTATTCAAACATTCTTAAAATATTTTAATATCAATTACCTGTCATTCCGACAGAGACTAGTACCCTCAGTGTGTACCACCATCAATCCCTGGCCCTCTACCCAGTGTGCAGAGAAACCATAATGACCGTCTGAGTCTGCTTTCACTTGGGTGGCCACCAGCATGACAGGAGACTGCAAAGAGACTAGCTGAGTCAGAGTAGGGCTCTTTCTTTCAGCTTTCTCCTGCAGGAAAAGAAGAAGAAGAAAACTGCTGAAACGGCATCAATGAATATCTGGTTGCTCTCCTCAATGAGATACTGCTCTCATTTTATAGATAGAGTTTTATGGATCTGTCCTTGAAAAGATGTGAAGTGTTAAAGCTGACAGCCTCTCTGATCTGATTGTTTCAAGAAAATGGGCTTGATTATTTGTGGAGTAAGCAGAATTTTAAGTAACGTTTTTGTCACACAGGTGAATTAAGAACATTTTCTTAAATATTTCTTGCCAAGCATGAAACTGTATTTTGTATATATATATTTACAAAAATATATATTTTATCCTTATAATAATGCCATTTTTAGCTGTTTCCCCCCCTTGCATTTAAATGCATATAGGGGCCAAAACGTGTCATGACTAATGATTTCATCACTGGTATACATGCATGATCACATGAATCCACCCCCCCCTAACCAATAGCTGAGACAGAGACTGAATACAGGAAGTGAGTGAATAGATAGATGCAAAGCGATCAGGTTTCTGTGAACACGCAGCAGAAAAGTCGAGGTGAGGGCTCGAGTCTCCTGGCGTGTGAAAGCCCTGCGGCCAACACTACTGAGCCTCTCCCCAGACATGGGCACCAGACGGATCGCTCACACAGGAAACCCCCCTGCAGAAATGCTTAGGAGCCCTGATCACCCCACTGTTTGGATTCCCTAGGGCAGGACGCATAGCTCAGGCCTCACTCAATTATTCAAGAGAAGCAGCAAAAGGGCAGGTACTTAAGAATTAATCATTTCAGTCCACTTTCATTTGCTCGTAATGTCGTCCACCCTTCATACTAACCTAGTGATGGAGTGAGGTGAGGGAATGGATACTGGACACAGAGCAAACAGAAACTAGAGAGCAAGCTGAACAATGGAAATACAGATTATAACTTGGCAACTGTCTTTTAAACCGTAGATGTTTGGGAAGAACAAGAACAATTGGTTGAGAAACGGGCACACCTTCAGAAATCCCCTAACTCTTATGAGATGGGAGAGGAAGTCGTGCCAAGCCCCGGATTGTAGGATTGTGTTTCGCATGAGAAAGGATTTCGGACTCAGTTAGAAAAGTGTGGCTGGTATTAATGATATAAGTGAGGCACTGTCAGTTACAATAAAGGATTCGCAGGGCCCTGGAAGGTAGTGTTGCATGCAGTAAAATGGCAACCTCAAGATGGACTATAAATCCCAAACAGAGCCAAAAGCTGCCACAACTATTAGCCACTGGGCCTTTTAGCCGCCAGTGCAGCTCAACACGGTGACCACCAAGACTTCGGAAAGAGGGAACAATCAAAGTGAGCCCAACTACTGGGAGCTCTCGTGCTTGGCCACAATCTAAGTATCTCCACAACCTTTTCCCACCAGAATAGTGAAACCTAATCTGGGTCTGCAACCACTACTGCATCTCTGGCCTGAAGGGGAATGAAATGTAATTCAATTTAAATAAAAAAGGGAAGGTTAGAAAAGGTTTGGGCCATATTATTTAGAGGGGTTTTTCCCTCAAATCCCTGAATTTCTGCTCTAGACCCCACATTTGCCGCCATGTGTTATTTTTTGCTCTATTTTAACAACTCCTCCCTCCCTCTTCCTGTCTTTTTTTGATGCACTGCAGTCGCAACGGATTGCAGAGATTAGAGGCGATGATGAAATATTTCCTTATTGTCAGATAATCTAGGGAAAATAAATGTCAGACTGCTCCTTATTAGGGCCAAGGCTTGTATTAGTTCCCAGACTGCTCTGTGGCCTGACCTGCCCCTTTCCCTTGATTAGGTCATATGATAAACATTAGCGGCACTACCTCTTTCCCACCAACTCAGCACCTAAAGACTGTGGCCTGAGGGCGGCAACGTGACACGCTCTTTTCTTACAAAGTCCCGGTCGGCATGTGTCCTTTCATGGCACCTCGTTAGGTCTCTACCGATGAGATGAAAGAGCCGCTTTAAAGGAGAATGAAGGTGGGAAAGAATCACCGGTATGGCCACAACACGGATAGTTTTACACTAGTGTTTGGTGTCATCCTGGCTTTTGAAAAAACGAGTGGTGTTGGTGGCAATGGCTCACTGTTGTGGTGACCGTCATTGTGAAACGCCATGGGAAGCAAATTAATGATAAAGTTTTAAAGATGGCAACATAAAAAAAGAATTACACATTATGAGAAAAGCTTCAGGACTTCATGCCGATTAACTGCATTCATTTTTTTTCCAAGTGTTTTTGTATGTCCAACAAAGTGCTTGCATATTGGGAAAAGCCAAGACTGTAATGCTCACATTAGTACCATATGTTCAGCCTCATTAAAATGTGGTCTAAAATAATAACTACTGGCCTGCGTTCATATGTCAGCACTATATCATTTCATACTGCAAAAGGAAACTCTGAAAACCTTGAGAAACCAGATCGGGGGTGCCAGTCTCACCTTGGCCTGGGTCTTCTCCAGAACTTCACGCAGGTGAGCCACCTGCCGATTTAGGTGGACCAGTGTGATCTCGTCTTTAAACACCTGGCAATTCCCCCTCATCTTCTCCAGTAGTCGGACCTCTGAAGGCCTGGGGAGTAAACAAACACAAGCTGCTCCCTTCAGCTCTCTTAAAGGCACACTGTGTAATTTTTAGCGGCATTTAGTGGTGAGGTTGTGAATTGCAACCAACATAATTTACGGTGGCCGACAGGTGGCAGACAGCAGAGAGTAGTCAGTTAAGCAATAAGGTTTCTATACAAAGATAAATTAAGAAATTAGTTTTACTTGATTATTCAGTAAAACGATATGTTATTGCGAATATTATTGTTACTTTTTCATCATTGTGTCAGTGTTTTATTCACTGACTTTAGCAAGCTTCTTTGCACGAAGAACAACATAGTGACGAAACGTGTTTGTCTATTTAAGGCCACTGTAGAAACATGTCTGCGCAAAATGGCTATTTCACTGTAAGGGGACCCGCGGTGTATGTAGATAGAAATGGCTCATTCTAAGGTAATACAAACATAATGGTTCATTATGTAAAGTCTTTATACACCACTGAAAACATAGTTATGTATATGATATTGCATTTCTGTCAACAGATCCTCCTAAATATTACACAATGCACCTTTAAAGGAACAGTTCATCTAAAAATATAAACTACCATTATGGCTTCAGAAGACTTGAAGTATAACGAACAACTTATATGGACCACTTTTATGATACTTTTTAAGCTGTTTTTATGATTATTATTATTTGGACTTTGACGGTATCTCATTAACTTTAACTAAATAGGAAAGAGTGGACATCATCCTATATTTCACAGAAAAAATGAAAGTCATACAAAATAAATTATGGAAATTTTCATTTTTAGAGAACTATTCCTTTGTCTTGGATCAGGAAGCTGATCTGAACAGATTTCCAATGTTCTGTCACTTTATATCAAAGATTAGGCTTTTTATTATTGTGTGGCTCAATCTTAAATAAATGTAAGTGGTCTAAACCTCTTATGTTCACAGACTCAAATATCTTAGATTAATGTCATCCAAAAACCCTGATACTTGAAAGATTTGTTTGCATTTTTCCTGGGGAAATGGCCAAGCACATGAAGGACACAACGAAACAAAAAACAATAAGCCTTCAAGTTAAGTGGCTTATCAGGTAATTAATGAGGACTTGGACATATTGATTTATGATGATATTTTCTAACACCCTTATCCATTCCTGCTTTCAATCTGTCCAGCTCGAAAAGATGTCAGAATAAATCAAAGGCCGTAAATCGGAGAAAAAGCAGGAAACTACTGGGTGAGACCCACACTGGCTTTTTCCTCAAACACCCTCTCTTTATTTGCACACCTCATAAATTAAACAGGTATGTATTCCTGTTTTGCAACAGTAACTATTTGCACATGATAAGGCTGATCTTTATCAAACAATCTGTTTTTGTGTTCCAATGAAAAAATAACATCATGAAACATCATAAGGGCGAGTAAATGATGAAACTTTCTTTCCTACATTGTCAGAACCAAGCAGATATTTAATATGTTAAGCAAGTACATTAAACGCTTGCATAATGGTCCAATCATGAGGCAGACCGGGCAGCAGTTTTCTCTGCACTTTAGGAAATTAGGAAAGATCTGTGGACTACCCATTACCATCATCCAATGCAACTTTCAGCACTGACGCCACAGAAAAATAAACTGTAACAGACTGTAAACAGAGCATCAAAAATCACAGGATGTTCAGTCTCAACAAGGAAATTACACTGAGGGCAACCAAAACCAGCTCTGATCATCAGTTCTTCCAGCCTCTCCTTCTGAAAGACGCAACACATCATTATCCATAAAGACCGATGCATTAATGAACAGTTTTTTTCCCTCTCCAATTCCATGTGATAATCCCATATAATTACTCAACTGCTCTGCATTAACCTCCAGCACATTCTATTCTATTTTACAATGAGAGGATATACTTACTTATTCTTCTGCACTGGTGCTGTGTTAAGATTGTCCCTGAGTGTTTGAAGGCTCTGTCTCTTCCTCTTCAGACTGTCCTGGGCTTCACTGAGATGCCTCTTCACTTCCAAGCTGTCTGTTTGCACTGCATCCATGTCCCCCTCCATCTTCTTCAGCTCTGAACAGAAGGCCACCAGTCCATGGTAAAGCTCCTGAACCTGGTAATAATACAGACATAGATCAATTAAAAGCAATAGAGGAGAACAGGGTTAGTTGTCACATTTTTCCCCTCAAGGCAGGTTTATTTTTGAAAGTCTATTTCTGTGAAAGAAAATACCTCTGTTACGGATACAGTACACTGTTTTTGCCAAGGGAAAAAGACACACAACCCTGCTCCAAAAGTGTACTTGATACTGAAATTTTAGTTTTAGGATAAAATTCACAAGTATTATTCTTATTCATGAGAGTTTTGAACAACTAGAGAAAATAAGCATTTGGTTACTGGACTTTTGACTCAAAAACAGGATAGTTCATGGTGTGACAACTAACCCCAGTCTTCATTTGAATAAAATGGTGAAAAAGAAGAAGACTTTTCTGGTTTTATTTATTTCCTCCAACAGGACAACAGAGAATATTTACCTGTATGATGACGTTTTGAAGGGAGGCCACCTGTTGGTTAAGCTCTCGAATCTTGCCGGTGTTGTTTAGCAGATTCTTGCTCTGAATATCGTCAGCGGTACAAACGTTATTTGGGGAACCAGGACCGTCTTTCTGTGTTTTGAGAGGCAAAAGTTTAAAAAGTTTATTTTGACCTAAGTTATGTTTGTGTGTTTTCATTTAATCCATTGAAATACTCAGCTTAAAACATGCAATTCTGTCTACCTTCCTACATAAGTGAAGCTCCATTAGTCTTGTTTCTGAGCCAGGCAAATCTCCAATCGGCTGCTCAGGGGAGAACTCATCTGAAAAACGTGGAAAAATAGAGACGGTATGTAAAAGTAAATTCACTGTGTAAATTCCAGAGCACTTACAAGCCACAAGCCATATATGATTCTCTCCAAATGCAAGACTAAATGCCTGATCTTTTCCAAAGAAGACAAAAGAAAAAGCCCTAAAAATAATACAATAAATTGAGCGTAAGTCAATTTATTTTGTGGATGTGTGCATAATCCCCAAGGACACACTAATGGCACATATAAATCAGTATATTAAAATCTTTTTTTACTGCAAATAATATACAAGTATTTGCATTAACTTGATAGTCTAACACCAAGTGTTGGTGTCATCTGTGATATTGTATAAATTAACAACAATTTGTAAAATGTCTCCAATAAGTTCTTTTGGCTAAAAAGTAGATCCTCATACATATAAAAAGACGACATTTGTAAATATTTTATTCCGTTTGGCTTTTATATACGGACCTTCATTGCTTCTCATTTTAAAGTGATCTTTGTCTTCATTAATTCCCAGCATCCTCAGGCAGGACTCCATTACTTTTCCCACACTTGTGTCTTTGGGTGTCCTTAAGTGAACAGTACGTTCTGATGCTAAATCAAAATAGCAGACAGATATAGGCAATTGTCAAAACCTTGAAATTAATTGTAAAAATATATATATTTTGAACTATAAGATGGGATAAAATTGCATAGGCAGAATAGTACCATTGACTGTGATTTCAATGAGATGTGAGTTCTTCTGAAATCTAGCATTTTGCTCTTTCTGTCTGTGAAAGAGAACATGACACATATTCAGGTCAACCTCTAAATACTGTTATGTACATAATTCCATTTTGGTAACAAGTTGTGATTACACATAATTTTACATTCTACAGAGAGGAAGGACGCACTACCTGAATTTGAATGAGCATCGGTTCATATTGATGCTGCTTACTTGAGGAGAAGATTTTGACTTGGTCATGGACACCAAAGCCGCTGTGAATTTCTCAACATTGTGTGGACCAAACCTTTCTTTTACGGGAAAGAAAACAAGTTCAGGTTTGCTTCCACAAAATTACAGACAAAAGTACTGGGATGTGAACTCAAACAGTTCACGTTATGGTTGTGCAATGGTACCCAGGAGGGAGTTGAGTCTTTGGGTGGTGGCGTTCGGTGGGTGTAACTCATGGTAGATGGCAGACAGCAGCCTCTCTCTCTCCTCCAGATTGGACAATTGAAGGATTTCAAGGGTGTGGAGATCAATAGAAGCGATTTGAGATCCACTGAACTCTGCCTCTGTAGGTTTTGATCCACCCAAAGCCACAACATTATTATTAACATCTCTTCAAAATGTTGCTTCTGATAAATAACACTAATGGATCTCTAAAATAGATCTTTATTGGTTTGAATGTTCAACAAATAGGCACTGCAAATCATTAGCTAGAAATGGTAAAAGTCTCTGTGGTGTTGTATTAGCTAGTAAATGTTGTTTTTCCATCTCTTTTTAAGTTGATGCATGGAAATACTTCTTAATATGATGCAATAACTTAAAAGTGCAAATGAGTAATACATAATCTAAATTCTAAACAGTTATTGGTTTGTGGTCTAAGCATTTGTCTCTTTGAATGTTTGGGGAATTAAAACATTTAAAAGGGGTGGGAAAATGACAAAAACAAATGTGCTAACTGCACTTTACCTCTAATGAAGGGCAGGCATTTCTGTAGACCAATATTACTAAACCACTGGCATACCTCCTCCGTGTTCAGCCCTGCTAAAGTTTTGGCACTGTACCCATTAGAATCCTGCTGAACACAGACAGATACAGACAAACTCACAATACATGATACAAATGACTTTTAATGTATGCATGCAGACACATTCATCAACTTGAAATAACAGTTCATGAACATACTTCTGCAGAGCATTAACACAATGGAAGACGTATCCACACAAAAAAGACCAAGTTAGAACATTCCACCATAAAAGACAGAAAATAGGACTTTAAGAGTTGTTTTCTTTAACCATGGAGAATTTTCGGTGCTCTCATGAAACGCTGCATGAGTGTACTTGTGTATACACTAAAGCTGTGGATACTCTGACTACATTAAAATGTGGGTTATTTTTATGCGCAACAGCATATAGCTTTACAAAATGGCTGTAGTTTGCAATTCTCATCTAGAAAAAGCCACGTCAATGGTGTTAAAATATGAGTGTATGTTCACAATTATGTAGGAATAAAAAATCTGCTATTGTATGCCTCTTTTGACTTAGAGCCTAAAATCATGAGACAACTTACACAATGTTATCATGAAAATAACTGCATTATCATCAACACCAAAAAGCAAAAAAACGTTTCCAGAATATTTTTCTCAATCTTGCACATAAAAACAGCAAAAAATGCCAATACCTTCACTGCACTTTCTCCGGTGTGGTCCATTGACTGGGGAATGTAGGATGCTGGGAAGAGAAAAATAACATGATCACTGCCATGCTGAAAAGACTAGCTTTAATTTTTATGCTAGTGTATGGTTAGTGCTAGTTTGGGGTCTTGATTTTGGACCAGCACTGGCATACTATTCAACCAGCAAAACTTGTTGCTCGTGAAGCTTATCGACCAAAAAAGACTTTCTGGTTACCCTAGTTAAAAGGCCAAGTGGGAATCATCTAAAACACAATACATAGAGTTTCTTTTTCAGCAGGGTACTCATTTTCAGACCCGTCATTTTCATATGAGTCATCTAAACAATAAATACAATGGGAGAGCATCATACCCTTTGTCATCCAAGTAATGGCTTACAATACAAAGTCACATCACGTCTTTACCAACAGTTATCCTTCTTTGACGTGGGGATTCATCATCTTCAAGAATTTCATTTTGCCCTTGGCATGTGGAGTGAAAGGTGTGACATCTCGACACTGTATTGTCCAAACTACAGTACCTAGTGGCTAGTTTCTGTGACAGGATGACAAAAAAAGAGCATTTGTACATGTTTAGTGCCTTTTAAATGTATTCTGTGTGAAGTATGGATTACATTAATGTCTATTAATTAATAAACGTTTCATTTACAAAGGTAATCCCCAGTGATTTTACCTTTTGGTGTGTTAGCATGCTTATCTTACTGCTCAGCGGTAGTAGCCTCAACTCTTCCTTTAGCAACTCATGGCTGCTGGCATCCTTGTTGCTCAGGTCATCTAAATGAGTAAAACAACACATCAACAAGATGTCAGCACTATTAGCAGATGATTCCTGAGCTGATGGGAAATAACTTTTGGATCCGGAGAAGCCCTAACTCTGTCTGGGTCATTGAGTCCATCTCTGGGAAACAAAACAAGTAGAACTTCAAGCTAACATGGGAAAAATTGGTCCCAAACTCAAGTCTGGACACTCCAGAACACCATATTTGGTGTATTGTGCTCCGTGGAACACACTTGAAAGCTTGGTTGGAATTTGTGTCAAATTAATAATGTCAGCCGGAAACAGCTACTTAATCTCTGTATGCTAGTGCTAATACTTGAGCTAATAATGTTAAGGAAGGAATGAAGGCATTTCTTTTCGTATACGGGCTCCGTAGCATCAGTCATCAATAATTTATCATAAGCTTTGTCTGCGCGCTCTGTAAATAAATGCAAACACACAGCAAACCACACTGGAATACTGTGGGATGTTGCAAAACTGGGTTGACAGTGAAAAGGACAAGTGAGGGACTGTCTGGCCAGTGGCATAGTTTAGTGAACAGTGACATGCTATGTTTTCCCACAGACAGCAGACATTCTAACATTCCCATAACCGCAATGCTTTTTAAACCCCCTCCCCTTCCTTCATAAAAAAAGCAGGAAAAACAAACAAGTGCTGGGAATTGACACACTGAAATGATGGTCTTAAGTCCTATCAAAAGCCCACTGTCTGATCCCTGGTGATTCTGCATAATAGGGAATAGTATTTGGCATCGGTGCCAGGTTTGTACATTGCCTGAGGAATACTACTGGTGTCTTTTATAAAGTGAAATATTAAACATGTAGTAAAACATGGTGGAGCGGCTGACCATAGAAATCTATAGATTTGTCAGTATTGCAATACTCATATTAATTACTTTAATCAAACTGGTTCTCAAACAGAATATGGACAGAAGAATCTAGAGTATCTCAGCCCAACAGGACAGCGTTGAGTGAACAAGAATGTTTAAAAAGCAGTTGAAAATGAGAACACCATTAGGTGACAAAGCAAGTAATAGCACAAAAAATCCTGAAAAAAAAAGCATCCTGGTTTCCATTAAAATATTTAGCAGCACAAATGCCTAGTTCTGTCATGAAACTCTAGATGGCGCAGGCTATTAACCCAAATTGATGATATTCACAGCGTTAACTACTTGACACAAGCTGATTGGTTCATGTCACATCTGCAGCCAATGAGCTTGCTGCTGAACATTTAAATGGCTGGTTAAACATGTAGAAATACTCTATAGCAGTTTGCAGCATGCTTTCCGAGTCTAAAACCCTCCACCTTCCCCAGCTCCACCTGTATAGACCTACAATGGATAATTGATATATGCTATTTGTGCAGCAGCAGTATGTCTACATACTCACAGCAGCGTATTGGCGTATGTATTGGCGCAACGCATTCTCATCCCAAGGCGTCACTAAATGACAATTTTGACCATGCTTCAATATTCGACGCTTTAGGCACCCTTTAGCGTCAGTTACATGACGCGATCCTAGGGCGTCATCTTACTGACGCTTTACCTTTAGGATCGCGTCATGTAACTGACGCTAAAGGGTGCCTAAAGCGTCGAATATTGAAGCATGGTCAAAATGATTCCCAAGGCGTCAGTTTGATGACGCCTTGGGATGAGAATGGGCTGGCAGTAGCAGCAATAATCAACAGCAGCCGCAATTCAGCAGCAGCAGCGTAGCAGATCTATTTCGCCAAGACCCCAAATACATTAACATGGTCATATCCATTACCATGCAAAAAATATACAGAGAGTTGTCATGATAGAAGTGTTTTCAACACTTATAATGAAATGTAATGTTTCTGGAGTACCAAATCAGCATATAAGAATGATTTCTGAAGAATCATGAAATATGTTCAACATAATTATCTCTAAAGACATCACAGATAAACTGAGCACACACAACAATAACTACTCTCTGTATATCTGGATTTCTTTACTGGCAGACCTCAGAAATTCGGAATAGGCAATAACTGGTCCGGCACCATCATACTGAGCATTAGAGCCCCACAGGGCTGTTGTTCACCCTGATGACTCACGAATGTACTGCCAAACACAGTACAAACCACATCATCAAGTTTGAGGATGACATTGCAGCGGTGGGCCTCATCAGCGACAATGAGTCATCATACAGAAAGGAGCTGGAGCATCTAGTAGACTGCTGTCCAAACAACAATTTCTCTCAAATGTTGACAAAATAAACGGAGACTTCGACTCCACAAAGTCCCGCACTGACCACCTCCCAAAGCACATCAATGGTTCTCCAATAGAGATAGTCAGGATTGAGACGTTTCTGGGTTTGCACATCACTTGCACCACTCCAAGAAAGCATAGCACTCTCTGTGCGGTGACTGATGAGGGCAAACTCCCCCCACCCATCCTCACCACATTCTACAGAGAAACAATTGTAAGCATCCTAACAACATGGTTTGGAAATTGCAATGATTTAGACCACAAGGCCCTGCAATGCCTTGTAAAAACAGCTGAGAGAATTATTGGAAGCTCACTCTCTCCAATATCAGACATTTACCACAAACGGTGTGTGAACAAGACCCAGAGCATCACATAAGACCCCAAATGTCCCTCCAATGAACTCTCTGTCCCCTTAAAAAAAGGCTTACGTGAGTGTGGGGCCAACACAGAGAGACTTTGCAACATACTGACTTCCTCCTCAAGGAGAAAGAACTGCTGCACTGAGACCAACTGATAAAACTACAATTAGTGATGCACAAAAATTTCTGGGGAAAAGAAGATTTTTTTCACTACTTTTCACAACAATGTTTTTCTACTGCCAGCCCTCACCACACCTTAATTATTATAATCATAATTGCTACTGTTATCAGTGCATTATTTACATAGGACTTTCAAGAGTAACCAATCCATTTGCATGCTGTTTGCACAGTTATTCATCATGTGCAAAACGTTCACAAAGCAAACACAATTTGACAGATTTCACAAGCAACTTGGTATTCTTCATTTGGGATCTCAGCAAATCAGGGCCATTCTTTTATTATTTAGCCATGATCATTTGATAATGTATGCAGGCATTGATTTTAAATAAATATACATTTATCATCACTGACTTCTGAATGCAGTAAGACTGTGATTGTAGTTGTGCCAGGCAAGCAGGGTTGATTTTGTGGATAAGAAGCGATTTTGGGCTAAAGGTCATTCAGAAATGAGTTTCATTAACATGTAAACTCAACTCAAATACTTTGTTTGGTGGAAACTCAATTTGGAAAAGTCATGAATCAGACACGTCAACCTCAATTTAATCTTTTGCAGTAAACTACTAGCAAGCAATAACACATGTTAGCATGCTATTTGTTAAAATTGTTTGTACTTTCACGCATGGCGTTTCCAGTACAAGCACAAGGACAAAAAAATTGTACATTGGAAGTCTTCAACATAATGGTAATATCTAACATATCAGAAACATAAAAGAACACTGAATACTATAACTTGTCGCCATTTATTAATCTTGCTCAAAAATTAATAAGATATCACTTAATTTCATATATTTACACTCCCGGCCTATCCAGTCCAGTCCCATGCAAAGCATGCCTCAAAATAGAAATCCTTTGCCCAGTTTCACTTAATGCCCACAAAAATGATGTTTGTAGTCCCAACACAAATGTATTTCACACAACTAAAATTAAATTGTGACAATGTTTAAGAACTGTTCTGCAATACCTCAAAAAAGGTACACTGAACAACCAGCTTGTTTTTTTTTGTTCTTGTTGATTGATTTGCACTGCAAACTTGATGAAATTATATTTAATTTCATACTTCTATATGGCTGTAATGACAATAAATGTAATTTGACCAGCAAGAGGAAGGGAGTGTGTCTTCAATCAAGTGTGATTCAGTCGTGAGATTAAATTGACCTTTAAATTGACATTCAGAATTGGTTCAACTTCATGGACTGTGTGAAACTGTCCTTTTTAAACAAACAAGATACTTTCAGAAAATACAAAAGCACAAAAGATAATGATTTCAAATGGGAGAAAGTGAGACAGTGTTTAGTCCCCAGACAGAGCTAAAATGGTCTAGCAAATGACAGGAGGCTTTCAGAAACTGGACCACTTCACACGGTCGGTGAAGTCGGCCCTCTGACAGCCTCTGGTCGTTCTAGACAGTGAACAGGAAGAGGATATGTGCAGAGCCTATCCCGAGACTGCAGAGAAAACTCAGTAAAGCCAAGGACTTAACACAGGTCAAGATCTGAGGGAGCCAAAACCAGATCTCGCTGCAAGAGAATAACATGCATATGTGCTGCAGTCCAACACATTCTCCTCCCTGCAAAAAGCCAGTAAATTGCAAACTGGATTAATGGAATACCACATGGCCGAAGGAGGTAGAGGTACAGATATTCAGAGGATCTGAGCGAGAGATGCCTTTGGGATCGTGGGAAGTATCTAGGTCTTTCCGCCCTGCCAGCTGTTTCCCTAGTTTCCACAGGGCCCCCAATATACTGTGGACCAGTCTGAAACACAGCACCAGAGAATACAGTGTCCTCCAAACCAAGCTCGCTGAACTTTCAGAAGAGTGAATTATGAACAAACACATTCAAGTGTTAATCGATTTAGGGCTTTACTGTAAAGCACACCTGTGTGTTGTCAGCATTTATAAACAAATGTCAATACTGTACTAACAAATAGAAGTATAACAGACATTGAGACAGACTCGTTCATAGAAGATCTGAGCAACTTCTCCAAATGCCTGGAGCAACCGTGTGAAGGTTTTCGACTGGAATACAATGCTTGGGAACAGGTCATATGGCTTCACGCTTGGGATAAATGTGTACAAAGGCCATCCCTCACCACAGCACAGACACCATTGTCCTAAAAAGATTACCCCTTGGTCACAAAACAGCACCTCAGTGGGTGTCGTTTCTCTAGACCAAACAATAAACACCTTAGTTTTCGGGAAGGAGCAACAGCTCACTTCTCTAAAGGGTCTAAATATTTTTGCTGTGAGGAGTTGCTTTGTGCATGATGAGACCTGCACAGTGGCATGTCCACCCACACCCTCTGAACTGTGCCCTTTCTGCTGAAAACCACACCTGGATGAGGACATGAGTAAAATTGTCAAAAAAGAATGAGTCATGAGAGGCAAGATTTCAGCATTTCAGACAAATACGTCAACGATGAACTATTCAGACCGTTTCAGATTTCTGCCACATTTTAAAAATGGCTAAGCAGTAATTAAAGGTTTCATACTATAGTTGTGTTACATACCAACGTCTAAATATTTGTAGACGTGTATGCGCCATAATTCTTATGTGATTAGGTTAAAATACTCAACATTTATGATTCCTTCTCTTTCTGGTGATATGGTACATTCCACAAATACAGTGCACTGTAGTTTTTGCTATTGATCCTATTTAAATATTAATAGTTGATTCATTGTATTAAAAAAATGCACTCTATTTTTAATATTAACTAGTTATAATTGCACAATTGTTACAGGTTTTTATATTTATGTTTTTATATTTATGTTAAGCTTTTCAGTCTTGTACCTTATTCGTAAAAAGTGCCATATAAGACAGCAGAAATATTTGTCAAGCTGCAACAATCAATAATACTTTGATGTCAGTTTTGGCAACAGTAAAACATAAAAAAAATAAAAAAAATATTGACTGTTTATAGAACTATATACTATATATAGAACAAAAATACTATATATTACTATATATTATAGTACTAACAAAAATGCACATGACCTTTTCAGATGTTAAATTTAGAAGTGACTCTTCAAAACTATTTCACTCCAGTTTTCACTACAGGCACCGAAGACTGCTGTGAAGATTCATCACAAATAAAAACAGACTCACCCAGATTATGTTCAGTAAACTGCAGCAAACTGATTCCAGTATTGAGGCTTCCTAACAATGCAAACAAACAAGTAACTATTTCAGAATGTATCATGGTAAGAGCAAAACTACACTTCAGTCTTGTACACACGTGCCAGTGGACTCATCGCACTGCTGACGCCTCTTACTTTTCCGTGGGTATTCAGGAAGTGGGGGTACTTGAAAGGAGCTGCGCAGGAAGTGAATTGTAGACTTGTCCACGCTGTTCTTCTTGGTCGTGTCTTCCTCTTGAGGCTCCACCTGTGGATGTTCTTGAGTTTTGGTCTCACGGTTACCTTCAAACTCCACGTCTTGGTCTACATCTTCCTCCCTTTCCTGCTCTCCTGTAGCAGCACTGCCGATACTGTCCACTCCTTCACTGCCTGAAGTTTGCTGCAGACTTTCTTCTTCCGAGTTTATGTCGAAGAACTGGTCGTCATCTATTACGTCGGAAGGTGTCGGAGGTATGAGGTTAATGACTGGTGGTGTGAGAAGACCACCATCTTCAACATTAATGCTGCCAGAACCATACAGAAGAGAGTCAACAGCAGAGTCATCCTCATTGTTCTGGATCACTCTGCACTGAAATGGTAAAGAGGAAAGTGGTGCAAGCTTCTTCTTTAGCGCTGCTCTTTGGCACACGGACACAGAACTAGCAGAGCGGCCAATGGTGATCTGTTGAGGTGGCCCGTAGCGCTTAACTTCAGCAAGGCTAAATCCAGGGTTGTCTATTCCCAAATCTTCAACAACGACATGGACGTTCTCCTCATCCACGACAGGCTTGGGATTTTGTGGCTTTTCCTGATTGTACTCCAAGCAGTCGTTTTCAACAGTCCGAAAGCAAGAGCAACACAGGAACCTTTCTACAATGTCGATGATGTTTTCTTGTCTGGAATGTCGGTTATCCACATGCTTTGCCATGTCCATCGCTACTTCCTCCCCATTCCCTGACCCTCTCAATCCCAGAAGAAACTAAAAGTCTGAGGATCAGAAGCAGAAAAGCATGGCTTTTTCACCTCTATCACCTAAACCTTCATCGAAAGGAAAACAGACCCCCTCAAAGCATCAATATGCAAGACCCTCTCACCGAAACCCTTCCGAGCAATAAAAAATAAATCCTCTGTAGGTTGTTGCTTAGCAGTGGCCTGAAAGAGAATAGGATGAGGCTTTATGCTTTGGCTTCGATGAATACTTGAGATGAATGCTAGTTTCAATTAAAGGCCTTTCATATGGAAAGTACTAAGGACACGGCTCTGTCCTCAAAGAGATGTGTGAATAAAATTAAGAGCATAGCTGACCTTTTTTTTGTTGTTGTTAATTTTTTGAAAAATTACAGTTCATTTAGAAAGAGCAGTATGTGGTACTAGATAACAAATTGTACTAGTTTGGGTATATCTGTGAAATCTGTTCTTTCTTGTTTGGTCTGTTGTTCCACTTACACAGTTGCTGTGCTATGCTAAGCTATGCTGCTAATGCTAAGCTTTCTGGTACACCTGAACTGGTCACTAAGAATGAACATAATTTGCCTGGTTATAATGCTATTTTCCTTCATTTGATCATTGTTTAATTCATTATTAAGGATATAAATGTAATACAGTGCAAAAGTGACATCTGACCCTGGGAGTGAAAGATTCATAATTTGAAATACACTACCGTTTAAAGGTTTGGGGTCAGTGAAATGTTCAATTAAAAAAAAAAAAAAAAAAATTAAAATAAACGCTGTTCTTTTGAACTTTCTAATCATCAAAGAATAAAATAATGAATAAATGTATCACAGTTTCCACAAAAATATGAAGCAGCACACCAACTGTTTTCACCATTGATGATAATAAGAAATGTTTCTTGAGCACCAAATCAGCATATTAGAATGATTTCTGAAGAATTGTGTGAAACTGAAGACTGGAGCAATGATGCTGAAAAAAAAGAGAAAGTATTGCTGTTAGAGGAGTCCTTTTGTATAACCTTTATATTTTAGGGCCAATCAAATGCATGCAAGCAGAAATCATAATGTTTTAATTATCATTAATGCATTTGAGCACAGTCGGAGCAGAAAGAACTGTCAGCACTGTATCAAGGACTCCATGCTGAAGAAAAGGTCACCATGTTCCAGTACTTTTTAAAGAGCCAGTTGTTAAGCCTGTTGATCAAAGGCTCCACTGATATTTATATATGTTTTTAAACAAAAACATTTGTGCACAATAAGGGATGACATGGTGGGCTGCAGTAACTGTGTTGCATGACTAGCATCCATCACAACTATACGCCAAGACAGAATAATCGGCATTGTATTGTACATTGTCTGCTGATTTTGGGGGGTGATCTGTGGGATTCTGCAGAACTTATTTAAAAATGGTAAGCAGAGCTGAGAAAAGGTTAATATACTCCAACTGGTAGCTGGGGGGGAATTAGCCAAAATGTTTGATAAACAAACATATAAGGGGGGTAAGGGTTGCACAGAGGAGTTTTCATGTAAGATTCCGTGTAAGTCTAGTCGTAACCAAAGAGCGTGAAATGACACTTTACTGACAAATGGGATTATTTTACTATATTATTTTACTATAACCTGATGAAAACCACACAACAGACAACTGCTATCCATGTACTGGAGTGCATTTCATGATTTCAACTCTTTATAATCCTGACTGAAAAAAAAAAAAAAAAAATTTACATGTACACTGAAAACTATCTTACAATGTATTACATTTCTGAGAAACAATTGCACAGTGGCTCATGTGCGTCATTCCCTTCTTTTTGGCAGGTACAGTAGCTGTTGCTTTTCCAGGCTCATAAAAAAAGCAACTGGCACATAAATGTTTCTAATCAGTGAAGCAGGTCACAAGGAACAAGATTTGCAATTCATTCATCAAAATATAATTCACATAAAATAAAATACGCATCATGTTCTGTTTTTTACAGTACAATTACATTTTCATTGCAATGCCCATTACATGATAAATGATCCTGTAATGAAATTTCAGACAAAATAAAAAAAGATGACAATAAAATTAAAATAAAAGCTGTGAAGCAATTTCTCTACATTGTGTCCTTTCTGGTAGCACAAACATTTACTTGAGCCATCTTGCAGTTAAATCTAAATCAAGCAGCTGCTTTCACAATAATACCAATTACGTTGCTATTAGGGAAACATGGCATTTGTTTGACTGCAGCTATCTTTCAGGATCCCACAGTCAACATAGGCTGAGTGTGTTCCTTCAAGGCTGCAGTAGCTCTTAAACATTTAATGGGTTTGAGCATTTTTAAAGACTTTGAGTAAAAAGCCTGAATTCTCCCCACTCCCCCTCCTCTTCAGCTTCCAAAATCCAGTACACACATTAACATCCCAGACTGGGGTCTCAGTCCAGGAAACACCTCTGACGGACCTCTAACAGTCTGTCAAACTCATTTAAATTACCAAATTGTAGTGCCTCTGTATATTCAGTTCACATTATGTATATTTAAGCTGTATCTGTGAAAGGTAAGAAGGTGGAGGATTCCCTATGGTTGCCACAGAGTGTCACTAGAGTGCAGACGTTCTGCTATCAGAGAAGGGGGCAGGAGAGGGAGAGGCGGGCTTTGCAACTTGGTATTCCAAGGTTTTGGGTCGTGTTACTGAAAAACCACACAAATGCTTTTCATTTACCACTCGGCAAAACAGATACGGCATGATACCTTGATCAAATATTTGTAGGAATACCAATTTTCCCCTTCATTTCTTTTACACGATATTCAAAGGCCATTTGAGAACGGCTGCAAACCAAATGCTCTCTTCCTCTGTCAAACATTTTCATCCAAAAGCTTTTGCCAAAGAGCTCTTATTTCAAATTTCGCAAAGATGTTTTGCACTAATTTGAGCTAATGTAACACATGGCGCACTAAAATAATGAAATAAAGTTAATATTTTTTAAGGGGGTGGCTATACATCTTATATAATGAGATTCTCTTAGGCACTGGTCCTAAATACATGCAATAAATACATTCTTTATGACAAACGACTCGAGGAGAGGGTTTCTATCCCCCTTGTACTGTTTCCCAACTTTTCTCTTTCGAAGCATGTTTTCTTTTGGTTTTGACTGCACTCGCCACCACAGAGAGGAGGAGAGAGAGAGAGAGGTAGATCCGGGAGAGGGCCCAGACTCCGAGCCAAAAACAACAGTGAGTTTCAGCACTGTCAGAAAGGGCTCCTCGCTAAAGAAAGCTGCAGCACGGTTTTTAACACTCTCCAACATATTGAACATTTCCTGTGTTGCTTGTGTTTCCCCGGGCCACTCTCCTGTTCACTGTCACAGAGCAAGCTGCTCTGTATAGCCACGCCCCCTTTGGGTTTAGCAAATCTAATTGGTTGAGACTAATTCATATATTTACAGTCAGGTTCTTTCACCACCTTCCCAGGCCTCCACATAGGCAACGGATCCTCAATTGGCATTTTTCCTAGGAATTCGCCTGAATAACAACCATCTGTATTGGAGCAAATTATTACCAGTTTACATTAATTATAATCAACTGATGATTATACATAACATTAGTTTAAGGGGCCTCTACTACACGGTGTCAGGGTTGCTGCAGGTAGCTGAGGACGAGGAACCAGGATTTCTATGCAATAGTTTATTTACAAACTCAAATAACAAAAACAACAAGAACGCAGGAAAATGCCAGGAACTCAGTGGAAACACAACCATAGATTGACGACGATCGACAAACACTCAGGGAAAACACAGGGCTTAAATACACATGGAATAATAGAATAATTAACAGAACACAGGTGATAAAACTGAACACAAACGAGGAGCGGGAAAACTTAACAGGACTAAACCAAAAACCACAAAGACAGGGGGAAACAAGATCTCTAAAACATAACTAAACACATTGAAAATATGACAATCGTGACAGTACCCCCCCCTCTCCGAAGGCGCGACCTCGCGCCGTACAACATCCAAAGGGGTGGGAGGGTGGGCGCCCTGGAGGCTGACGAGGGCATGGTGAAGCAGGGACGGGAAGCCTCCAGGGCGGAGCTGGTAGCTTGGGGAACCGGGGTGGAACCGGCTGTGGACGTGGCCATGGCGGAGCTGGATGTGGGCGTGGCCAGGGCGGAGCTGGACGTGGGCGTGGCCACGGCGGAGCTGGACGTGGGCGTGGCCACGGCGGAGCAGGACGTGGGCGTGGCCAGGGCGGAGCAGACGAACCCTCGGGCGTCCAGGGCGGAGCTGTCGGACCCTCGGGCGTCCAGGGCGGAGCTGTCGGACCCTCGGGCGTCCAGGGCGGAGCTGTGGGACCCTCGGGCGTCCAGGGCGGTGCAGGCTCTTCAGGTGGCCACGGCGGTGAAGACCCTTCAGGTGGCCACGGCGGTGAAGACCCTTCAGGTGGCCACGGCGGTGAAGACCCTTCAGGTGGCCACGGTGGTGAAGACCCTTCAGGTGGCCACGGCGGTGAAGACCCTTCAGGTGGCCACGGCGGTGAAGACCCTTCAGGTGGCCACGGCGGTGAAGACCCTTCAGGTGGCCACGGCGGTGAAGACCCTTCGGGTGGCCATGGTGGTAAGGACCCTTCGGGTGGCCATGGTGGTGAGGACCCTTCGGGTGGCCACGGTGGTGAGGACCCTTCGGGTGGCCACGGCGGTGTTATTTTTCCGGGCCTCCGTGGATCCTTGGCCGGCCACGGCGAAGGCGTATAGCCCCCCCCCAAAATTTTCTTGGGGAGAAGGACAGGTTCAGGAACGGAAACAGACTTGACCTCAACGGGCGCTGGGTCAACGGGGTCTGGGTCAACGGGCTCTGGGTCTGGGTCAACGGGCTCTGGGTCTGGGTCAACGGGCTCTGGGTCTGGGTCAACGGGCTCTGGGTCTGGGTCAACGGGCTCTGGGTCTGGGCCAACGGGCTCTGGGTCTGGGTCAACGGGCTCTGGGTCTGGGTCAACGGGCTCTGGCGCTGGGTCAACGGGCTCTGGCGCTGGGTCAACGGGCTCTGGCGCTGGGTCAACGGGCTCTGGCGCTGGGTCAACGGGCTCTGGCGCTGGGTCAACGGGCTCGGGCTCTGGCGCTGGGTCAACGGGCTCTGGCTCTGGGTCAACGGGCTCTGGGAATGCAGGACTGGACGGAACCAGCATTTCAGGGAACTCATGGGGCTGAGC